CTGTGTGGAGTTTGCATGTTCTCCCCGTGTTGGTGTGGGTTTCCTCCGGGTGCTCCGGTTTCCCCCACAGTCCAAACACATGTGCTATAGGGGAATTGATCAACTCCAGTGGTCTACAGCTTTGTGTTATTCTGTTAGTTTGGGCTGCTGTGTGTGCATTAATGAGGAAAACAGTCAATTTAAATGCAAAATAACCAAGAGTGAAACATGTAGAGGCGTCTAAATACTGCCCAAACCCACTGTGCACATAATCAAGTACCATTAATCTCTGATACACCACAAACATCATACCTTTTCTTGCCCAAATGTTGGAAACTCTCCTGAACTGCTCCATTAGAGGCCTTTAACACACACACACACACACACACACACACACACACACACACACACACACACACACACACACACACACACACACCCACACACACACACACACACACACACACACGCACACACACACGCACACGCACGCAGAAGAGCGCTCACTCTATGTTGGTTGAGCTCTGCAGTGACTCTATAAGTCAGATGAGCTCTGTGTCTCCTGCTTAACTATTATCCAGACTCAACACTGAATCACTGCAACAGCGAGTTAGTCTTGTTTCTAGTCTGAATATCTCAATATTCTGAAATCAGTGAGCATTTTCTAGACCAACACAACACATAGTCTTAATTTAAGAAGTAATATGACTAAACTGAGTGAGTTTCTCTTTAAAACAAGCAGAATAATCTGACTATAGCCAACTGCATTATCTATATATATATATAGTGAATGCTGGACTCTTCTGAGGTCAGAGCGCTGATCTCAGCACAGTCTACAGGGCAGCAGAGCGCAGAGCAAATGTTGAAGAGTCGACTGGGCCGATGGGCTCAGAGCAGGTCCATGTGGAGTGATTGGAACAATATGTGCCATGAAGGATAAAAGAAATTCCAGCCTCTCATTGTTCCCAGTGCCAAACCACAAGCAATGCAAGTTGAGGAGAGGAAAAAAAAAGGGATGAGGGGAAAATGAAGGAGAAAAGAGAGAAGGAATATGCGGGGAGCAGGGCAACAAACAAAAGGGGAAATAAAAGCGGATTCTGTCTTCTCATGGCCACCCCATAACACTGCCCTGCACCATCAAGACCACTTTACTGGCTGATGATGAGCTCTGTCTGATCTGGAGTCAGGCATTACATCTCAGATCCAGCACACGGTTCAGTTTTTACATTAAGATATGACCTTTGAGTCTCGTTCAGTGAGATATGTTTGGGTGCGTCTCAGTCTCAATCAGCACCCTTGTTCACTACTTAGTGCACTGATCAGGGCTGTCTCAACCCCTGAATTCTCCCACTGCACTGAAATGCATGGATACACACTATTATATGCACCTTTAAAGGACGTCCAGAAGCGGGAAATATGAGTCACATGACCCAAATCATCAACTGTCATGACAAACGAGAGTAATAAAGGCGTGTTGCTAACATGAATGAACATAGATTCGGAACAATCTAGCTGTTATTTTTAATAGTTTAATGAAATATAGCTGGAGTATGAAGCAATCAGCTACTTTAGCTGTAGTGCAGACACAGACTCATATAAGATTAATCAATGCACAGAGTCTGCAGGAGCCCTGATCAGCTCACACCCTGAAACATGCTGTTCTTATTGGTCATCCAAATACCTGAAACCTCTTAAATCCAGCAGCGTTTTCGAGACAAGCACACTAACATAGTCAGAAGATGTCAAAATAAAGAGAGTTTCTCCTGAACACATACAAAATAATCTGCCAATGGAGGAAGCAGAATAATCTCATGCCAAAGAGAAAGCGAGATTATTCTGCTTCCCCTATTGTCAGATTATTCGGCCTGTTTGAAGGGAAAACTCTCTTTATTTGGACTCATTATTTTGCTGAAACGACACTATATGTTTTACTTGTCTAGAAAATGCTTCAAGATTTAAGAATGTTTAGGTTTTTAGACCAGAAACGAGACTGAAACTCTGAATAAGACTTGCAAATGAAGCAGTCTCCTCCTCCTGTGCAATGTGTGCCTGAGCTAATGCCCGCATCAGTCCCTGAGACGACTCTTCATTAAACATTCAGTCAAACTGAAGGAATCATTGGAGAGCCGGTGTGTTAGTCAGGAGGTCGCTGTGTGACTGTTTCTGTCCTCTTTTGGAGCGCTCGGCTCATTTAGTATGAGAGGTTGTGTGAACAAGGGTTATAATTAGTGGGAGATTATTGTATTGACAAAACCAATGTTTTACCCAGTACTGGGTTGCAGCTGGCAGGGCATGCACTGTGTCAAACATATGCTGGAATAGTTGACGGTTCATTCCGCTGTGGCGACCTCTCATAAATAAGGCACTAAGCTGAAGGAAAACGGATGTTTAGTATGGTGATCTGCCTGCGCCGGCGCGGTGGTGAGAGGCTGTGTTTATGTCAATATGCAGACCACACACACCCAATATTTAAACATGCCATTAGCATGACGCTTAACAGCACATCTATTTATAGCGTCGGCCCTCAGTGTGTTGCTGAAGTGGAGTTTACGTTGAGTAACTCGTAACACACTTCAGCT